GTTTTTCAATTTTTTATTTTGGCCTATTTCGGTTTCTCAGTTTTTCCAGTTTTCCAATTTTTCGTTTTTTGATTTTTCCGCTTTTCCAGTTTTTCAACTTTTAACTTTTTTTGCCGATTTCTCTATTTTTCGATTTTTCGACTTCAGCACTTTTCGATTTCTCGTTCTTTTGATCTTTCAATCTCTCAATTTTTCAATTTATCAAATTTTTAAGTTTTTTGATTTCTCGATTTATCGAGATTTGGATTTTTCGATATTTTGATTGTCAATTTCTCAATTTATAAATTGTTCAATTTTTAACTTTTCGACTCAACGATTTCTTGATCTTTTGATTTTTCGATTTCTCGGTTTTACGATTCTTTAAGGTTTCGATTTTTCGAATTTTCGATTATTTTAATTTTTCATTTTTTTTCTCACTGTTAATATTATACAGGGTATCGAAAACAACCTCAACAATTGTCACTAAAAACATTTAAAAATTCATACAAAATAGAACACAGTGTTTCCAAAACATTTTCCCGAAAAAAATCCATTGGGTTAATACGATTTCAACAATATTCTTAGTTTAAGACGTTTTGCTAGTATAAAATACAAATAAAGAATTAATTCTTAGTACTTGCAACGATAATACTGAACAAATTGTGAGTAGTAACTGGAATGAAAATACGCTGTGGTACCTTCTAAATCGTGAACAATTTGATCGATGACTTTATGAAATTCCTTTGGAGCCATTTTGATACCAAAGAAGAGTCGTTTAGCTAAATAGGTATGAGTTGATGAGTTGAAATTGTTTGTATTCGTGCACTTTCATCAACAGGAACATGTAAATACCCTTTGAAGACGTTTAATGTACAGAAATATTTACCATTTTTCACTTTATTGAAAATATTTTCTATTCAAGGAATAGGATAACGATTATCTTGAAGTTGATCGTTGATAGTTACTTATCAATCAGCACACAGTCTAATGTCACCATTCTTCTTCGGATTTGTACTGTAATGAACATTCTTTTTACTTCCCGAGCGTAAGCAAAGGAAGTATTGTAATCGAGTCCGTCGGCCGACTCTCTACTTTTACGTTTTCTCGATCTTTCATGACCCCTAGAAGACGAAGAAATAGGTCTCCCATTTCCGTCTGTCTGTCCGTCTGTCCGTCCGTCTGTCCGTCTGTCCGTCTGTCCGTCTGTTGTCACGGATTTTTATTAGACAGATAATCTCCGAAAGTACTCGACCGATTGTTGTGAAATTTTGTACTTATATTAAGAATATCATGTAGATGGTAAAACGCTAACCAAAATTTGTCGAATCATCCCCACCACTAAAGCGATGACGTCACTTCAAAATTGTACATAGTAAATGGGTTTTCAATTGTATAAAATAACATAGTCCTACACATGTAGTTTACAACTCTGAATCGACTTTTCACTCGAAACGTCCAGATTTTTGGAAAAAAAATCAAAATTATAAAACAACATTTTGAAATTTAATTTTTAATCTGCTAACCAGAATGCTTTGAAATGTTGCAGATGTTTTAAGGCTATAAAGAGCATCATAAATCTTTAGTCAAAAAATATTTGCTTATCCCCTCCAAAAACTTGATGACGTCAGCTCAAAAGTTTGTGGAATAAATCATATCTAAAATGTACAAAATATGATGAGTCTGTACTTGTGAACTATCACTCCATTAATATTTTTTGGATTTGCATATACAGGGTGACTCAAAAAAATTAATGAATGCGTAAATATATTTTATTGATTTAATCAGGAACTACAAAACCGAATGTTCTGAAATCTTGCAGATGTTTTAAGGTCATAAAGAGCATAATAAATGTTTAGTCAAAATATATTTGCTTATCCCCTCCAAAAACTTGATGACGTCAGCTCGAAAGTTTGCCGAATAAATCATATCTAAAATGTACAAAATATGATGAGCCTGTACTTGTCATTTATCACTCCATTCATATTTTTTGGATTTGCATATACAGAGTGACTCAAAAAAATTAATGAATGCGTAAATTTATTTTATTGATTTAATCAGGAACTACAAAACCGAATGCTTTGAAATCTTGCAGATGTTTTAAGGTCATAAAGAGCATAATAAATGTTTAGTCAAAATATATTTGCTTATCCCCTCCAAAAACTTGATGACGTCAGCTCGAAAGTTTGCCGAATAAATCGTATCTAAAATGTACAAAATATGATGAGTCTGTACTTGTGATTTATCATTCCATTCATATTTTTGGATTTGCATATGCAGGGTGACTCAAAAAAATTAATGAAGGCGTGAATTTATTTTATCGATTTAATCAGGAATTACAAAACCGAATGCTTTGAAATCTTGGGAATATTTTAAAGTTATTATAAGCATGGTAAACTTTTGTTCAAAATGTATTTGTTCATCCCTCCTAAAAAAATTGATGACGTCACCCTTAAATTTTGCTGAATAAATCCTATCTAAAATGCAAAAAATATGATGAGTTTGTACTTGTGATTTATCATTCCATTCATATTTTTTAGATTTTCTTAAGAGGTGGTTCAAAAAAATTAATGAAGTCAATTTATTTTATTGATTAAATTAAAGGCAACACTTATTATTAGTATTACACCCCAACCAACCCAATTTGGTAGACACAAAATTTGTTAAAGGAAAAACTCGGTTGAAACATAAGGGTAGCACGCTTATTTACATCGACTTTAACATTACAGACCTGCATTTGTTTTATGCGTTCACTTGATTCCGCGAATGTGAAATACGAGGTAAGCGCCAAATATTCTCGGCCTAACAAAGAAAGAGACCTGATGGAAAAAAATTAAATATTTATATTTCAACATAATCTCTGTTAACTTCAATATATTCAAAATTACGTTCAACTAACAGCTCTATGCGTTTAAAAAAATTATTTGAATCTTTATCACTAAAATGATGTAGTACTGCCGTTTGCACCTCTTTATCCGTCCAAAACGTTTTCCCTCCAAGTCGTTTTTTATCTTAGAGAACAGTTAATAATCGTTCGAAGCTAAGTCAGTACTGTAGGGTGGATGATCAAGTTACTCGAAGTCACAGGCCCCTATAGCAGCTTGAGAAAGACATGCGGTATGAACGAGCGCATTTTCATGAAGCAATCGAACGCCTCTTGTTAATTTTCTCGGCCTTTTTTCCCAAATACGGTCTCCTAATTTATGCAGTAAGTAAGCATAATATGTAGCGTTGACAGTGGTATTTCATCCTTTAAAATTAATCAACAACATGCCTTTACAGTCCCAAAAAATTGTGGCCATGATTTTTTTTGGAAGATTGGTTCGTCTTCAAGGGTTTCTTACCCCATGCGAAATAACTGTGATCATTTTTTTTAGTAAAATGTGAAGGACAAGCTTCAGCAAACACAAAAACCATCCTGTCCTTAATACCCTTTAGAGCAATTCCATCTTTTGATAAGAATTTTATTGCCGTTCGATTTTCAATTTTAAACAGGCATGATGAGTCCATAATTTTTCAAATATTACTCCTCAAATGTATCAAAACTAATGGGCAGTGGGGCTTGAAATTTTACACACATACTGCGGGGACCCTCTAGTCTTTTATGAGTTGTACAAATTTCCCGACGAGCAATCGCAAATATATCAGGCCGAGAATATTTGGCGCTTACCTCGTAGACATGTTTATAATCAACCAATTGTGAATTTCACCGTCAAGAATTAAAATAAAACCCAATGTTTTATATAATAAGCGGAAGTCGAAGCAATAAAACCGACGGTCGTTTTGTTTACAGTTTCTGTGTTTGGCTCTCACGTATGCTGTTACGCCTGTCATCTTAAATTAACAATGTTTATACATACACGATTTTCAGTTGCCTCTGATACGTAGGTATACGTGAGTAAATTGTTTCGTTATTTTATTGATTATTACAAATCAATATTCAAACGACCCAATTCATTTTCCCGAAAATTTGAGAATATAATAATTTTATTCTTAGTATTACACTACATCTATCCCAACTGATATACGTGTCCTTGCAAAAATGTTGATGACGTCATCGCAATTTTTTTTTAAATTCCCACTACAAAAATGTAATGAGAAAAAAAACACAATAGGCATGCAGTCGTCAAGTTTCCGACAGCGAGGGAAGTACTGTCTAAACTCTTTAGACCAATTTTTTCATATGCTGACGAAGAAGTATTGAAGATATCGCTAATATTATTTATTTGAAATTCGTCATCAACAGAGGAATTTGAACCGATGTCGACGTTATTGACAGTTCGTAGATTTTTTTGAAGTAATGTAGGAATACAGTTCCGGTTTTCAATTTTTCGATTCTTCAGTTTTAGTTTTTTTTATTTTGGATTTTTCAGTTTTTCGTTACTATAATTTTTTGATTTGCAATATGTCACTTTTCATTTTTTTCTTTAATTTTTAGATTTTGCAATTTTTTAATTCAAAATCTCTCAAATTTTCTATTTTTAATTTTTCGTTTCAATTTTTTAGTTTTCTTCATTTTTACATTTTTTCCAATTTTCACTGATCTGATCTTATAATTTTTTGTTTTTCCGAGTTCAATTTGTTCAATTTTTCGCTTTTTTTGTTTCTTCAATTTTTTGAAATGCAGTTCTCAGTTTAAAATTTTTCAGTTTTCGATTTTCCAACCTTTGGATGTTTCAATTTTTAGTTTTTGCATTTGCAGTTTCATGAATTTTCAACTGTGAATTTTTCAGTTTTTCGAATATTTAATTTTTCATTTCTTCAATTTTTGACTTGCAGTTTTTCTTGTTTTCATTTCAAATATGTAACAACAGTATTTTTGTAAATATTTCACTTTTTCAATTTTAGAATTTTTCTATTTTTCAATTATTTGATTCTAAAACTTATGCTAACTCTATTCTTCAATTTTTCATTTCTTCAAATTTTCGAATCCCAATTGTTCACTTCGATTTTTTATTTACTTCATTTTTACAATTTTTCGATTTTTCAATTTCAATTTTTTCAATTTTCCATTTCATGAATTTTTGATTTGCAACATAAATATTAAAATATGTGCGATTATGCAGTTGTGCAGTTGGAAATTTTCCTTAATTTAGGCACTGATTACGGGTAATATATGCTGCTTTAAGCACCGTTTTATGTAAGAACTCTAGGCAAACGTTATAATAGATAACAACTAACTTAATAAGATGATAATGTATGTAGCCACAATGCACAAATGTGTTTTTGTACGTATTTGTGTTTAGTGTTAAGTTTAACTCAAGAAAGAAAATAAACCGACAAAAATGACTCTGAGCCAAATACAGGGATTCTACAAAAATCAAACCGTCTTCATAACCGGAAGTACTGGCTTGTTGGGAAAACTCGTTCTTCGGAAATTGTTAACCACATGTGCACCGAAGAAAATCTATCTTCTTATAAGACAACACAAAGGAAAATCGGTGGAGGAAAGACTTGAGACACTCCTAGACAGCGCTGTAACACTCAAATAGTTTGTAATTTTCTTTAAATATAAAAAATGTTTGCAGGACTTGAGACGGGATAAATCGGAATTCAAAGGGAAAATTTTTGCTATCAAAGGAGACTGTGGTTTACCGGGACTGGGCATATCACAGGATGATAGGAATACTCTAGTAAATGAAACGACTTGTATTATTCACATTGCAGCTACTATAAAATTTAACGAGCATTTACGATTGGCTGCATATATTAATGTACGCGCTGTGCAGGATCTCCTTCATTTGGCTAAAGAAGTTCGCGATTTAAAGGTATTCTCGGAATGTATTATACTTTTTCTGGTACTAAAGATGTAGTCGATAATTTATACATACTTTTATATCACTTTTATAATTTGGTTTGATTTAAATAATTTTTTTGACATTAGGCTATTGTGCACGTTTCGACAGCTTTCTCAAACTGTAACCATAAAGATTTAATAAAAGAACAATTCTATGAGCCTGGAATGACAGCCACAGAGCTCTTGAAAATGCTGGAATCAATGAATGATGAAGCAATAACCAACACCACTCCAGAGTAAGTACAAGTTTTCTTAACACTACGATTTTTACCGCTTCGTTTATCTGCTCTCTTGGGAGGGCATTAAATTATCAGTATGACACACAAAATTTCACTCAATTTTTCCAGCGTTCTAGGTTCTTGGCCCAATAGCTACACATTCACTAAAGCTGTAGCCGAAAATATTATCAAAAACGAAGCTCAAGATCTACCGATTTGTATCGTCAGACCGGCGATTGGTAAGTAGAAATTGTTCACCTCGTCAAAAAAGTTATGAGAGAATTGATTTCAGTGATGGGGGCATGCCAAGAGCAAATATTATTCTAGCAGCAGGGTGGTACTCAGCATCCAAAAATCCTCCCTCACCGATCTATAACTATGTAGGTTCTGAGAAGAATTTGATAACAGGAAGTCAGCTCGACCATTACGGAAAATTATTTTCCCAAATGTACACCAGCATGCATACTGTTAATGTGTACTTTTTGATTTTTACTAAAAACAAGTACTACCTTAGGTTCTGTCAGTTCTGGTTCCATCTCGTACCAGCGTATATCGCAGATCTGGTTTGTTTATGTCTTGGAAAAAAACGAAGGTGAGCCTTCTTGTGTACAGACTTTTTTACACCAAAATGTTTTCAGGTTCGTTAAAATGTATCAAAAATTACATAGAATTTGTGACTTGGTAGGATTCTTTAACGTGAATTTGTGGAAATTTGAAACTACGAATAGCGAAGTTATGTGGAAAGTCTTGAACGAAAAAGACCAAGAGTTGTTTCCGTTTAGCATGGAGAACTTGCAATGGAAAAGTTTTTTGGAAAGTTGTGTGATATATGGAAGGATTAATTTCCTGAAAGATCCAATGCATACTTTACCACAAGCCAAACGAAAACGGAAATTCATTATATTATTATATTATTGCATTGTTTTTGCACTTGTGTGTGTCGTGTGGTGTTTGATTTGAATTGTTAAATTGCTATATTATCCATCTTTATACAGGGTGTTATTGAAATACATGGAAACAAAAAATCTGGTGAATGTAGGGAACCTAAGAAGTCAAATGAACGTTTGTTGTTTTAGTAAAATTTTGAAAGGAAAATTTAACCCCTATCCAAACATTCATTCCTCCACTGATAAATAATGGTTTCACGAAAAAATGTGAAACCTAGTAACTGAAAACTGCCGAGGTGTAACTACTGTTGCTATTAATTTATTGCTAGCAACAAATAAACAATGACAATAATTAATGAACTGACAATTAAAACTTCAAAATCATAATTTAATCAACCATAAAATGAAACAAAACGTAACGTATGCAACTAGAGCAAGTTTTCAAAATGTCCACCACCATTTCGTATACACGCTTCCGCACGTCTAATCAATGATTGTTGTCTTGTTCATGTAGAGTTCTCCACACCACAAAAGGTGAAACTCCCACTCGGTAAGACAATCGTCTAATGCTTATACCTGGATCGTTTTCAACGACATTCAAAATTTCTTCTTCGGCATCAAGTGTCCGTTCTGTCCTTTCACGACCACGATCACTAAAACGAGGTTGAAATTTCCCATTTTCTCGTAGACGCTGAACAACGTTAGCAAATGTTTTATGATTTGGCAATCTTCGTTCGGGAAATGCTTCTTGGTATAAACGTCGAGCTTCCAAGGAGTTTCTTAAGGCTTGTCCATACATCAGAACCATGTCAGTCATTTCAGAATTAGAAAAATTCATTTTGTTCTTCCAAAAAATTGCAAAAACGTCAAACAATGTTGGGCTAATGAATGTATTGTCATGTTAACAAGCAACAATTTTACCTACTTTAAATTACTATAGTGATCAAATTTACCTTTAACATTTTTGGAATCAGTAGCGCACACGCAAATTTTAACAGATTTTCAATCAATTTTATCTCGAAAACTAAAGGATTTTTATTAGATCAATATTTGATGCATAAATTCTCTACATCATGACCAATTACCTTAAAAAAAGTTTCCATCTATATATATATCATATATATCCTGTATAGTAAAGACGCAATTTTTTAATCAAGCAAACAAATGTTTTAATTTTGTCAGCATAGATAATTTGTCATTGCGACAGATTCACAGATCATTGCGACATTATTTAAAAAGAATAATGTATATGCAAATCCAAAAAACATGAATGGAATAATAAATCACAAGAAGAGACTCATCATATTTTATACAATTTAGATAGGATTTATTCAGCAAAATTTTGAGGTGACGTTATCAATTTTTTAGAGGGGATAAGTAAATATATTGTGATTAAAACGGTCCTGGTTTAATAACAAAAAAATATTGTTCGTCTATGAAACAAGCTCGTCTTAGACAAAGTATTCGTAAAAAAAATATGTCGTAAAAAAATTTACGTATGCTGGTCCCGACTGCGATTATGGTTTAAATATTTTTAAAAAAATCCTGTTATGGATGTAGAAACATTTGTAACAGCCAAAGAGGTTTTTTTGAGAAAATTATCTTTGAATTTAGACCAAATTGAAATAGACACTGGGCAACAGGCACATTTGGGCAAAAGAAAGAGAAATTAGGGTCACGGCTTCAAATTTTGGACGTGTTTACAAACTTAGACCGACTACAGCAATAGCTAAAACTGTAGAATCTCTGTTGTACATTTAGAGGTAATAGTTATACATACTATGGACAGCAAAGTGAGGAAAAAGCTGTCAAGTGTTGGTTGCCAGTCCAGACCGGGTTCTAGAGGATAGGAGTGCATTAGTCGAAATTAAATGCCCTTCAAAATCGCAAGATTTGTCTCCCGAAGAAATGGTTAGAAAAAAAATAATCAAATTTTCTACATTGACAGACAGAGAATTGAAACTAAAAAAAAATCATAATTACTACTTTCAAATCCAGGGACAAATGCTTGTTACGGGTATTTCACAAGTTTATTTTGTTGTATGGACACCCAAAGGAATAAATATAGAAAAAATTTATAAAGACGAAGAAATATTTGTAAAAAGATGGCAGATAAACTTGGCAGATTTTACTTTGGCGCATTATTGCCCGAAATAATTGATTCAAGAAGAAAGAGGAACCTGCCTTTGCGAGAGATTTTTTAAAAATAAATAAAATTTGTTTCTATTTTTTATGTACTTTAATAATTTATTAGGAGTACATTTTTCATCACCAAGACTTGCATATTTTTATTATAAATATATTTTGAAAATGATCTCTCGGCAAATGAAAACATATACGAGCACTTTTTTCGAGTAAACAATGAAGGGAGAAGTTACTGGGCGTAGGGCTTTTTTAAAACACCTCCTTTCTGGGATAACTAGTAGATACACTTAGCTACTTATACGTGTTAAACAAAAGCTGTATTTTATATATTTTTTATTATTATTATAAATATGTTTATTAGTTTTATTAATTAACAAAGCAAAATATATATTAACAACAACAATATTACAATGAATTTTTAGTAATCATGTGTATTGAATTCAGGATCCTGAGTGGAGTAAAAATATTATAGTTCCCCAGTTTTAATTCGGTTTTATGATAGTACCTCATTGCGTAAAAGTTAATTTCCTTAACAATAGATTACTACGGCCGGTCCTGGCGGCTTGTTATAAAACTGAGTTCCTTGCCATAAATTAAAAAAATCAGCCCAGAACTCTAATAACAATCAGCTTATGGTAGAGGAGGCGATAAGGGTTTTACCTGGAAAGTCGCTTCCGTAAATTTTAGTGGCGCTCCTATCGGCAAAGTACTGAACTAACTGCTCAAATTCTGTCGAATTGATACCCATTTTTTTCAGTAATTGTTAGTTTTTGTTAAAAACTCTGCTAACCAATAGATCATTAATTTTTCTCTGATATTCCTGTTAAAATTATTCGACGTATTTTGCATTAATTTGTGGTATATTTTGATTTTAATAAACACATTATTATTTAAACAAATTGTACCACTAACAAATATTTAATGACTCTGCGCCCTGTAAAAAGTGATGTTTTATCAATGTGCGAATTTTCAAGCGATTCTATGATACTTATGACTCAAAAAACTTGAAAAGAAAACATACGATGGTGCTTTTTTTACGATATTTCTCAGCGATATTTTTTTAATTGATTGAACTGGTCTCTGCGCTCTAGAATATGAAAAAAGCTGCAGTTTGATGTATGATTATATTAATATCATTTTTTCATACAAAAAATCAAAAAAATGTTATACCTCGTCTAGCGAGTCCCCTTAAGGCAAAATAAGTACAATTTCTTAGAAAGATATTTAAACTCCTTATAGGATCAAAGGCTGCCTGGCAGGCCGGAATCACCAGAGTGCAACTTTAAATTTTCAGATTTTTGTTGAAACTCATTTTATTTTAATCTCGTTTCACGATTTCTGAGAATATATCACGATAAATTATTCCACCGAGGGTTGTAAAAATATTAATTTTATTGCCCAAGATTTACATTTAAACATAATCGGCACATTCTAGGGCAAAACGGACCTGCCAAGCCTCGCGTTAGGTCCAACAATGAAAAAGTGAAGAAATGACACATGTGGCAACAGGAAAAGATGCTACATTTGTCTGAAACATAAAGGTATAAAACAGTAACAAATATGCGATTTATGCGAGAGAAATGTATGTATTGAACATTCGATTAGTCGATTACAGAACTAATTTGTGCCAATTGAAAAAATTAATCATTATCTAACACGCAATTATTATTTTCTAAAAATAATAACATACCTTAAACAAATATTTTTACTATTAAAATTACTCGTTGTGATAACCCAAACTTCCCGCCTTAAAAATTTGACCTTGAAACAGTTTGAAAGGCCCGCGAAAAATTCAAAAATTCAAAGTTTGGCCTTGGCTGTGATCGTCTAACAAATGAGAACCTACGTTGTGTGTTTTTTTTTTGTGGTTTTGAAAAATGGCGGGAAGAAGTTCTTTCATACAAGTGCATACACTGTCGAGAGCGCAAGAAATAATAGACAAAATTAGGAGCCTTCCTAAGGAGGAAAAAGAAACGAAGAACGACAGACGCTCGATTTGCCCTTCTGGCGAGTCCGCAGGGCCAAGGTGTCATCGGTCTTCATTCCCCAAAACCCCCTGGGGTTTTATTCACCGACATATTACATGTCAAACACCTTAAGATATGTGAAAGAAAAACACTCGCGAATTGACAGACATACACATATGAAAACCGAACAAACACAAGACCTACACATATGTAAATTGGATGGCAGAACCCGAATCATTATGAGAGTGTGGCGATCGAACAAAACATAGAACAAAATATAGCAATTTCATTTATGAGCACAGCAAAATACCCAGAGGGGGCGTTGTAGCGCAAGTAGAGGTTGGGACTCCTGATCGTCACTGTTCTCCCCCACGACGGTGATTCTATCTACACCAACGCCTGCTCACACGCATCTCTCCATTACGAACGTGCCCTGCGAAACGAGGCGGTTACGATCGCAGATCCGTAGTGGGGTCTCGACTATTGGGCCAAGTCGACAGCGTTAAAGACCCGCGATCGCCCCCTGAAGCTATACAAACCCGCGGATTTGTGCAGGTGCCGCGATTGATCCCGTCAGTTTGAGAAGGAGTCGCGCGCCCCACGTACACTACGAGTTATGTGTTATTTACTTCAATTTCATTTAAATGTTCAATCTCTAGGACTCTAATATTAAATGACAACCGAACAAGTGTTAAAGTTTCAACAAAGAGCAATACACAACATTTAAATTCGCCACACACTCTTACGGAAATTCAACAACAAATAATTCTTAATTGAGATTAAATTTGGACATCAGATAATTTACATGATAGAAATATTCATCAACAAAATATTTACATGAGCAAAACTTAGCAAAGATTTATAAAATAAAGATCTGGTGTGAAATAAGCTTGTGCAAATTAAATATCATGTTAGGTCAAAACTGCAGAGCATGGAAATTTACGTTCAATTCAAATTATATTGCAAAGAAAATTACTGTAGCTAAAATTGTGAGACAAAGACAAATTGCATGAGGTGAAAGATTGTAAAGTTAACAGATTTACACGTGATTAATATTAATTAGTGTCCAGTCAAGTTATTGGTTAAAATTCAAACGTGAAATTATTTAGCTGCATTGTGGGCCATTATTACACATACATTTCCCCAAACAAAACACATAAATAAACATGGCAGACAATCTGCAGTTGCAAAATGGCGTTGGACGAATTCGTCATTCCAAATAATAGGCGTCGAAAATATGCGATGCAAAAATGCGATGAATCCTGTGGCGTTGTATAAACGATGTGCTAAATAAAAGGAATAGAAGGCACGTCCCCCCATGACCCACAATGTTGTTATTTTGTTCAATAGATTCAGTTAAAACATGTGCTCGTTTAAAAGAAACAAAATGGACGCTTCAAAATGGCCGCTGCCTGAACAAAGAACGGTGAAAATAACAACTCGTTTGCCGCCATCCAAAATACAGATTTCACAAATATAGCTAAATAAAGCATGGCCCGAACTAGAAATCACTTCCTGTAAAGCCCTACTGCGATGGATTTTAAATGAAAGATAAAAAAACGAGATTAGTGGAAAAACAAGCGCACGCGTCGAAGTGTCACGAGGTCAGAAGCATCGTCGGGGCAGAGATAACAGAGATGTGACAGCTTTTGAATGCTCCATAAGAAATGCATGGGAGCGAAGTGAACACAGAATTTGACGTAAAGGACGGTTGGGGGCACAACATTTGTGGTGGTAAACCTGATATCCTAACATGTATGTTAAATGTTACTAAATATATTACTAGTAAAAGTGACATAACGAACGAAAACACGAACTCTGAGATAACCTCAATTAAATATGATGCGATGGTTTCAAATTATAAAAGAAAAGTCATGTTAACTGCATATGTATGTATGTATTTATTACAGTTACATACATTTTAACAAACAATATACTATTGGTAAGTACAGGAATAGTTCTATAAAAATAACATCGATAAGTAAACCGATGATTTTCTGCAGTTATAATTAATTATTAATCGATGGAACTGGCAAATGCTCTATAAATGGGACAAAATGATTCATTTCCTCTGTTTTTTAGGCTGCTTCTGTAGTTCCCTATTATGGAATTTCAATGTATAAAATATACGTAATCGCACAAATAATGACAAAAGGTAATCAAGGGGGAGATTACTACATGGATGCTATTAAGGCCAGCTGATTTTTAAGTTGTCTAGGAACTTGAAGCAAAAGTGTATTATGTTCAAATGAACTACTGAAGGCATTTTCTAATTGTTCAATGTAATATGCAAACTGTTCATACGGAACATTAAGATTGCCATAAGATAAAGTTTCAGAATAGTGGGCTTGGAAACGACAATAATGTAGTCTCTAGAATTTCTGCCACATGCATTTGTATATTCACAGCATATCTGAGAAGAGTGTTTTAAGCATGCATCCACTGAGTATCCACATATTTATCGTAAGATATTTTGTTCAGCTAAATCAAACTCTTTGTACTCTATCCTATGTATTTTTAGGGCATTATGAGGTGGTTGGGAATTATTAATTATGGTGGTCTCACTTAAATTGGAGATATCTTCATTAGCAGATAAGAATTGTGGTGTGATCAGATGATTAAAACAGGACTTGCGTTCGTGGTGTATTTATTTTTTATGTTGTCGGTTCAGTATATAAGGGAAAAGTGTTAGAGTCTGTGATTTTGAAAATGAAAAAACAGGTCGGTAGAGAGCGGTGAAACGGTTGTGTCGAAAGGGTTCTTAGAAGGTACTCGAAATCTTCGAAGGATAAGAATTATTGGGAAGGGCGAACAAAAGATAGGTTTTACGACATGCAGGTGGACGAAGTGAGTGAAAGTTTCAGGGTGATAGTGGTTGGAAGTCAATAAATACAGACTATATACAAATATTACATGTTGCACAATTTTGTGGGATTTGTTAGCCCCCACAAAATGTTGCTAAATCAAAAGCACAATTACCAGTTGGGTTGTGCTGCATATATTTTATACAGAACAATAGCTTGTATTTGCTTATATTTTAATAAAGTGTGATGCAAATAACTATTAATAATATGAGGATAAAAATAGTTTTATTAACACCCGCACAGAACTAAAAGTGACTAAAGTCATCTTCGCAATGAAAAGGTAACATTCAATATTGTAACTGTATTTGTACCCCTTAAAGTGTCGTCCTTGAATTTCAACGTTAGGTTGTAATAACAATCGTCGAATGGGCTAGAGGGTACTTTTATTATTATCTTCGCTATAAAATTGTACAGTTTGTGTTGTGTATGCACATTTTAGAGTTTTAAAGGATAAGAAAAGTTAATACAAGCATCTTGAGTAATTTAATGTTTTTTTTTATCCATTTACTATTAATCAGGATGTAAACATTACAAAAGCACCAACAAATGTTAGATGTAATATTTACAATCATTTTTCGAATAAACTTAATGATTGTAATTTTTTTAATCTTGTCTTTTTCCATTTATGAGGAACCTAGTATTTTTGGAAGAAAGATTAACCACTTTTGGTATATTCTTACGATTGGAAATATCCCTGGTAATCAAATAGCCGCGCTACGAAAGTTTCACTTCAATTTAAATAGCGCGCCCGAAAGTGACGGTTTGGGGCACAGTACGTAAGGACTATTGTCGCTTAATTTTGCGAGCTGTCATATCTCTATTATCTCTGGTCGGGGCTTGAATCTCGCCGCGAAACAGGTGTTCAAAACATACCTCTCCAAAGATGCGAAGATTTCGACACGGCTTACCGCCAACAGGAACACAAAAACCTCGTCGTAAGAACGGTGAGAAATCAGGAACACCCAATGGCTCAACGGTGGCTGCTAGGTTTTCCAATGGAACTGGATCAACACTGGAAAAACAAAACACAACAGCAAAAGGCACAGAATAATTCACAATTAAAAATACAACCTGTTGCTCGAAGCGCTCGAAAGGAAATCGACTGTTCTCTCGAAGCGATGAAAAGGAAGTGCCCGATTTTACACGAGACAAAACCACCCGCTTTGCGCACGTCTGTTTCCTTGGGGTGGTTGGTTGCCAACCTCTCCTTCTTCTCACTAACCGTTTCTTGTGCGCGCGGAATTCATTTGAAATTTAAAAATTCGAATTGGATCCTTACATCGTATTTAATAACACAAATACAACCAGCGGGCCTATCGGACCCGGGTTGCTCAGGTACACAGATAAAATGCATTGCCCCGACAAGCCTAAAAAGGCCGCGAATAGTGAATTGTGGTTTATGGTTTTTAAAATACCATGTCACCATGGCTTAGATTTATTACCCCTCAGGATTATATTTAAAGATGTATAAGTACTGAAGGCTACAATGTAGGAAATGATGGTATTTAAAATATGAAAATGTCCGTGACAGAACACTATTAGTGGACCTCTTACCTCTATTTTTGTTTATGCGACCAAAATCACCAACATGAAGTATCAAAAATTACTACTAGTATAACTCAACTAATAACAACTGAAAAAAAAAGTGAAATAAAAAATGTATCGGTATCTGCGCCATTAATTTTGTATCAAGATACAGATATTTTGTGCTTAAATTCGATTTTATCTAGATACCCAAAAATGTATCTAGATACTTTATTTAGATAGAAGTATGTAGATACTGCCCAACACTGTTCTCAACTTAAAAAACGAGAAATTAAAAATAGTACTAATTTTACATCTCTCTGAATTTTCCTTCGTGTTGCCATGGGCGACGGTAACCACAGCAACCACTTCTAGGCCACCGTGTATATTCAAGCGACAATTAAACCCTCAAAGCCCTTTTCCCAACACTAAAAATTTTCCAGCTCTGGTATGTAGATCAAACAAGTTCTCATGCGACGAGTTGTAGTGAAACAAGTTTTTTATTGGCATCGACCATTTAAATTTGGCGTTTGAGAACTCCAATGTCAATAAGGGTGGTTTTGCAAAATCACCCAGTATGTCACATCTAATTAATCTATGACATAACCTCACTTTTTTGTAATCAACATAACCTAAAAGTGTAACCGGGTTTATGCAATTTTGCGACAGTGTTGTTAATTGTTAACAAACATGAAGTAAGAAAAACAACATTGGTGTCCATTTACCCAAACAAGTATTTTAGGTTGAACGTCGGGGGCTTAATTGTGTATTTTCCGTACGACTACATCTACCCTGAACAATATGCATATATGTGCGAGCTTAAAAAAGCCCTGGACGCTAAAGTACAACTTCAAACACAACATAACAAAACCCCCTTATTTTATCTGAATTATAGGGCCACTGTTTGTTGGAAATGCCTTCAGGGACAGGTAAAACAACGACCCTTTTATCCCTGGTGGTTGCGTACATGTTGGAGAACCCCCACGATGTCCGCAAGCTAATTTACTGCTCTCGAACGGTCCCCGAAATCGAAAAAGTAATGGAAGAGTTAAAAAAGTTGCTCCTTTATTATGAAAAACAAGACGGCGAGTACCCCCATCTTGTAGGCTTGGTTTTATCCTCCCGTAAAAATTTATGCATTCACCCGGAAGTACGTGACTATTTTTCGTTGTATTTGTGTTATTTCGTGCGTTTTACAGGTAAGTACGGAACGAGAAGGTAAAATAGTGGACGGAAAGTGCCACTCACTCACCGCCAGTTATATTCGAGAAAGACACAACTATGACGATACAACCCCCATTTGTCAGTACTATGAAGGGTTCTCTTTAGATGGTAAAGAAAGCACCATGCCTTATGGTGTGTACAGCATAGATGATTTAAAACAATATGGCAGAGATAGGAACTGGTGTCCATATTTTTTGTCCAGATTTGTGGTATCAAACCACTATTTTTCAATCACTTTGTTTAAAAAAACGTCTTGTAGATAAACCACGCCAATATCGTAGTTTACAGTTACCATTATTTGCTAGACCCTAAAATCGCTGAAGTTGTGTCCAAAGAACTGACTAAAGAATCTGTCGTTATTTTTGACGAGGCCCACAATATTGATAACGTGTGTATTGACTCAATGAGTGTTAAAGTGAATAAGAGGATCATCGATCGCGCCACTGAAAATATAAATTTGTTGGAACGCACTGTAGCTGAGTAAATTTGAATTTTTATTTGGTTTAGTACTGTGGTAATTTTTGCTCTTTAAGGATGAGGGAAGATGATCATAAGAAGCTTCAGGATGAGTATCAAAGGCTAGTGGAGGGGTTACGGGATGCTAGTGTGGCGCGCGAGACTGACGTCATTTTGTCTAACCCCGTATTGCCTGACGCTATACTGACTGGTAAATATTTTACACTTATGAGAGTCTACAGGATGTTGACAATAAATCGGAATTCAATTTTTTTTTCAGAGGCCGTCCCTGGCAACATTCGTAACGCCGAACACTTCATCAGCTTCCTCAAGCGCTTCATCGAGTACCTTAAAACCCGTCTCCGGGTGCAACACGTCGTCCAAGAGAGCCCCGCCGGGTTTCTCAAGGACATTCAAACGAAAGTCTGCATTGAAAGAAAGCCGTTACGGTTCTGTGCAGAGCGTTTAGCGTCTCTTCTTAGGACGCTGGAGATTTCAGATCTTACGGACTTCAGTCCCGTGATTCTCATTACTCATTTAGCTACTTTGGTAGCTACTTACACTAAAGGTTTCACGATTATTGTTGAACCTTTTGACGATAAAACCCCCACCGTGTCCAACCCTATACTGCATGTCAGTTGTTTGGACTCTTCCATTGCCATAAAGCCGGTTTTTGATCGCTTTCAGACCGTGGTTATCACGTCTGGGACGTTGTCTCCTATGGATATGTATCCCAAGATTTTGAATTTTCATCCGGTGATTATGTCGTCTTTTACGATGACGTTGGCAAGGCCGTGTTTGTTGCCAATGGTAAAATATTGTCATTCTTAGTTTAGTGCTTTAATTATGATTAAAAAATGTGTTGTAGATTGTGTCTAAAGGTAATGATCAAGTGGCAATTTCGTCGAAATACGAAACTAGAGAAGACAATGCTGTGATACGAAATTACGGACAGTTGTTGGTGGAAGTCGCGGCGAATGTACCAGATGGCATTGTTTGTTTTTTCACTTCTTATTTATATCTAGAATCCGTTGTAGCGAGTTGGTACGACCAAGGGGTTATTGATAGTTTACAAAGATACAAACTTCTCTTCATTGAAACCCAGGATTCGGCGGAAACTAGTTTCGCCTTGATGTACTACATAAAGGTAGAAATAATCTTATTTATTGCTATTTAATGAATCGTTTGTAAAAAGTTGACAAATTTGTTTAAATATGAAGCAAAATAAGTTTTCAAAACTCAAAATTTTCTTAACGAAGTAAAGCAAAAGTTGATCTTTTTATCAGATGCCGAGGTTTTGACTGATTAAAGGCGACAATTTTGTCAATTTTGAAAATTTACAAAAAATGCAAAAACTGGCTCGTTTTTTGAAATTCCCTGTGATGCCGACTTGCGTGCAAAATGGATGAAAGCTGTTCAGAATTTTTGAACCGGTTCAATCGTTGTTTGTTTTCACCGCCATTTGAATTTTATCTCCCACATCACAATGTAATTAAATTTTTTGGCAACTTAGTTCTTCGAGCTTTTTTAACCCTCTGTGTATCAATTTTTCGGTTTTTCAGTTGTTTGATTTCTTGACTTCATTTTGATTTTTCCATTTCTCGCATTTCAAGTTCTCAATTTTCGATTTTTCGTGGTTTTTGATTGTTTGATTCCTCAATTTCTCGATTGCCAGTTTCTCAATTTCTCCATTTTTTGCTCTTGCATTTTTCGTTTTCTCCATTTTTCGCATTGATTTTTCAATTCTCAATTTTTCCTTTTTTCGATTATTCATATTTTCGATTTTTCTAATTGTCAGTTTTTCAATTTTTCAACTTCTCGATTTTCCAATTTATCAATTATTCTCAATTTCTCAATTTTTTTTCTCCATATTTTCTGCATTTTTCGAATTCCCAATTTTTCATTTTTTCGATTTTTTGATTGTATGACTTGGATTTTTTGACACTTCGATTTTCGATATTCACTTTTTCAAGTCTTCAAATTTTGATTTTTGGTTTTTTCGATTGTTAGGTTCCTCAATTTTTTGATTTCTCAATTTCATGATTTCCCGAGGTCTCGATTCGATTTCACAATTTTTCCATTTTTTTTCTGCGATTTTCAACTTCTCAATTTCCAATTCTTTGATTTCTCAATTTTTTATTTTTTCGATTGTTCGAATTTTCGATTTTTGGATTTTTAGATTCTTCGATTTTGGTCCTCAATTTTCGATTTCTCGTTTTTTTTCTTAGGTTCCTCAATTTTTTCATTTGCCAATTTCTCAGTTTCTTCAGTATGATTCTGAATTTATCCATTTCCCGAGTTCTGGATTTCACAATTTCTCCATTTTTTCTGCGTTTTTCGACTTCTCTATTTTTAATTCTTCGAGTTTTCAACTTTGTGAATTTTCATTTTGATTTTTCGAATTCTCAGTTTTTCATTTTTTTGATTATTCGAATTTTCGATTTTTCTAATTGTCAATTTTTCGCTTTTTTGATTGTATGATTTTTCGGTTTTTGGATTTTTAGATTCTTCGGTTTTGGTCCTCAATTTTCTTTTTTTTGTTTTTTCGATTATTAGATTCCACAATTTCGATTTTTGAATTTTTTGATTCTTCGATTTTGATCCTCACTTTTCGATTTTTCGTTTTTTCAGTTTGTCTATTTTTTTTATTGCCAATTTTTCCGATTTCTCGATTTCTTCACTTTTTTTTTCTGCATTTTTCGACTGCTCGATTTTCAGTTCCTCGATTTTTCAATTTTTCGAATTTTCATTTTGATTTTTCAAATTCCCAATTTTTGTTTTTTTTTATTGTATGATTTTTCGTTTTTTTTTTATTGTATGATTTTTCAATTGTTGGATTTCTCAATTTTTTGATTTCCCAATTTCTCGATTTTCCAATTTCTCAGTTTCTCAATTTTTTGAGTTCTCAATTTCTCCATTTTTTTCTGCGTTTTTCAACTCCTAGATTTTCAGTTTTTCGATTTCTATTTGTTGAATTTTTATTTTGATTTTTCGAATTCTCAATTTTTCATTTTTTTGATTGTTCGAATTTTCGATTTTTCTAATTGTCAATTTTTCGCTTTTTTGATTGTATGATTTTTCGGTTTTTGAATTTTTAGATTCTTCGATTTTGGTCCTCAATTTTCGATTTTTTGTTTTTCTCGATGATTAGATTCCACAATTTCGATTGTTGGATTTTTTGATTCTTCGATTTTGATCCTCACTTTTCGATTTTTCGTTTTTTCAGTTTGTCTATTTTTTGATTCCCAATTTTTCTGATTTCTCGATTTCTTCACTTTTTTCTGCATTTTTTGGCTTCTCGATTTTCAATTCCTCGATTTTCCAATTTTTCGAAATTCATTTTGATTTTTCAAATTCCCAATTTTTCGTTTTTTTGTTTGCGAGATTTTTCGATTTTTGTTTTTTTCGATTGTTGGATTTCTCAATTTTTTGATTTTCCAATTTCTCGATTTTCCAATTTTTCAGTTTCTCAATTTTTTGAGTTCTCGATTTCTCCAATTTTTTCTGCGTTTTTCAACTTCTAGATTTTCAGTTTTTCGATTTCTATTTTTTTAATTTTCATTTTGATTTTTCGAATTCTCAATTTTTAATGTATGATTTTTCAGTTTTGGGATTTTCGATATTCGATTTTTCAAGTCCCCAATGTTCGATTTTTCGTTTTCTTCGATTATTATATTCCCCAATTTTTCGATTTCTCAATTTCTCGATTTTTCGAGTTCTCTATTTCTCACTTTTTTTCTGCATTTTTCGAATTCTCGACTTTCAATTCCTCGGTTTTTCAACTTTTCAAAATTTATTTTGATTTTTCGAATTCTCAATTTATTTTTTCGATGGTTCGATTTTTCCGCTTCTCAATTTTTCATTTTTTTGATTGTATGATTTTTCGATTTTCGGTATTCGATATTTCAAGCCCTCAATTTTTGATTTTTAGTTTTTTTGATTGTTGGATTTCCCAATTGCTCGATTTTCCAATTTCTCAGTTTCTTTATTTTTTGATTCTCAATTTCTCGATTTTCCCGAGTTCTCGAATTCTTAATTTCTCCCTTTTTTCTGAATTTGTCCACTCTCGATTTTCAATTCTTCGGTCTCTCATTTAATTTTCATTGTAATTTTTCGAAATCTGTTTTTAATTTTTTTTTAATGTATGATTTTTCAGTTTTTGAATTTTCGATATTCGAGTTTTCAAGTTCCCAATGTTCGATTTTTCGTTTTTTTCGATTGTTAAATTCCTCAATTTTTCGATTTCCTAATTTCTCAGTTTCTCTATTTTTTTGTTCTCAATTTCTGGATTTTCCTAGTTCACGATTTCTCAATTTTTCCATTTTTTCGATTTTTCATTTCATCGGTTGTTCGAAATTTAGACCTGTGCTTAAATTTTTCGATTTTTCCAATTCTCAGTTTTTCGTTTCTTTGATTCCATGATTTTTCGATTTTCGGTATTCGATTTTTCAAGTTCTCAATTACGATTTTAAGTTTTTTTAATTGCTGGATTCCTCAATTTTTTGATTTCCCGATTTCTCAATTTCTTCTTTTTTTTACGCTTTTGGAGTACTCGATTTTCAATTCTTCGATTTTTCAATTTTTTTAATTTTCATTTTGATTTTTCGAATTCTCAATTTATTTTTTCGATGGTTCGATTTTTCCGCTTCTCAATTTTTCATTTTTTTGATTGTATGATTTTTCGATTTTCGGTATTCGATATTTCAAGCCCTCAATTTTTGATTTTTAGTTTTTTTGATTGTTGGATTTCCCAATTGCTCGATTTTCCAATTTCTTAGTTTCTTTATTTTTTGATTCTCAATTTCTCGATTTTCCCGAGTTCCCGAATTCTTAATTTCTCCCTTTTTTCTGAATTTGTCCACTCTCGATTTTCAATTCTTCGGTCTCTCATTTAATTTTCATTGTAATTTTTCGAAATCTGTTTTTAATTTTTTTTTAATGTATGATTTTTCAGTTTTTGAATTTTCGATATTCGATTTTTCAAGTTCCCAATGTTCGATTTTTCGTTTTTTTCGATTGTTAAATTCCTCAATTTTTCGATTTCCTAATTTCTCAGTTTCTCTATTTTTTTGTTCTCAATTTCTGGATTTTCCTAGTTCACGATTTCTCAATTTTTCCATTTTTTCGATTTTTCATTTCATCGGTTGTTCGAAATTTAGACCTGTGTTTAAATTTTTCGATTTTTCCAATTCTCAGTTTTTCGTTTCTTTGATTCCATGATTTTTCGATTTTCGGTATTCGATTTTTCAAGTTCTCAATTACGATTTTAAGTTTTTTTAATTGCTGGATTCCTCAATTTTTTGATTTCCCGATTTCCCGATTTTTCGATTTCTCAATTTCTTCTTTTTTTTACGCTTTTGGAGTACTCGATTTTCAATTCTTCGATTTTTCAATTTTTTTAATTTTCATTTTGATTTTTCGAATTCCCAATTTTTCATTTTTTCAATTTTTCGAATTTTCAGTTTTTCCATTTCCAAATTTTTCGATCTTTTAATGTATGATTTTTCAGTTTTTGAATTTTCGATATTCGATTTTTCAAGTCCTCAATTTTCGATTTTTTATTTTCTTCGATTGTTGGATTCCTCAATTTTTTGATTTTCCAATTTCTCGATTGTCCAATTTCTCAGTTTCTTAATTTTTTAATTTTCAATTTGTCGATTTTCCAAGTTCTCGAATTCCCAGTATCTCCATTTTTTTGCGTCTTTCGACTTCTCGATTTTCGATTTCTCAATTTTTTAAATTTTCATTTCGATTATTCGTATTCTGAATTTTTCATTTTTCGATTGTCGCATTTCCGATTTTTCCAATCCTCAATTTTTTTTGAAGTATGATTTTCCAGTTTTTAGATTTTCGTTATTCGATTTTTCAAGTCCTCAATTTTCGATTGTTAGATTCCTCAATTGCTCGATTCTCATTTTCTGGATTTCCCAATTTCTCAGTTTCTCAATTTTTCTGATTCAAAATTTCCCGAGGTTTCGATTTCTCCACTTTTTTCTGCATTTTTCGGCTGCCCGATTTTCAATTCCTCGACTTCTCAATTTTTCGATTTTTTGATTGCACGATTTCGATTCTTGGATTTTCGATATTCGATTTTTCAAGTCCTCAGTTTTTTATTTTTGGTTTTTTCGATTGTTAGATTCCTCAATTTTTTGATTTCTCAATTTCTCGATTTCCCAGTTTCTCAATTTCTTCATTTTTTGATTCTCAATTTCTCGATTTCTAAATTTCCCCATTTATCGATTTCTCGATTTTCAATTTTTCGACTTTTTAATTTTTTGAATTTTCGTTTTGATTTTTCGAATTTTCATTTTTTCCAATTCTCATATTTTCGCTTTTTTGATGTATGATTTTTCAGTTTTTGGATTTTCGACATTCGATTTTTCAAGTCGTCAGTTTTCGATTTTTCGTTTTTTTCGAATGTTGGATTTCTCATTTCTTCGATTCTTCGGTTTTAGTCCTCAATTTTGATTTGTCGTTTTTTTTTTGGATTGTTAGATTCCTCAATTGCTCGATTTTCAGTTTCTCGATTTCCCAATTTCTCAGTTTCTCAATTTCTTGGTTTTCCGAGTTCTCGATTTCTCCACTTTTTTCTGCAATTTTCGATTTCTCTCGAATTCCCAATTTTTCAATTTTTCGATTTTTTGATTGTATGATTTTTGGATTTATCGATTCTTGGATTTTCGATATTAAATTTTTCAAGTCCTCAATTTTCGATATTAAATTTTTCAAGTCCTCAATTTTCGATTTTTGTTTTTTTCGATTGTTAGATTTCTCAATTTTTTGATTTCTTGATTTTCAGTTTCTTCGTTTTTTGATTCTCAGTTTCTCGATTTTCCGAGTTCTCAATTTCTGAGTTTTTTCAGCGTTTTTCGACTTCTCGATTTTCAATTCTTCGATTTCTCAATTTTTTTAATTTCAATTTTGACTTTTCCAATTCTCACCTTTTCTTTTTTTGATTTTTCAGTTCTTGGATTTTCGATGTTCGATTTTTCAAGTCCGCAGTTTTCGATTTTTCCTTTTTTTTCGAATGTTGAATTCCTCATTTCTTCGATTCTTCGGTTTCGGTCCTCAATTTTCGATTTTTCGTATTTTGGGACTGGAAGATTCTTCAATTGCTCGATTCTCAGTTGCTCAATTTTTTATTCCCAATTTCTCGATTTCTCCACTTTTTTGCTGCATTTTTTGACTTCTCAATTTTCAATTTTTCGAATTTTCATTTTGATTTTTCGAATTCCAAATTTTTCGATTTTTTGATTGTATGATTTTTGGATTTATCGATTCTTGGATTTTCGATATTACCTTTTTTCAAATCATCAATTTTCGATTTTTATTTTTTTCGAATTTTAGATTCTTCAATTATCTGATTTCTCAATTTCTCCATTTTTCGAATTCTCAATTTTTCATTTTTTCGGTTGTTCAAATTTTACATATTTATGTTCCGATTTTTCGATTTTTGATATTTCAATTTTTTGACTGTCGTCTGTCGATTTTTATTAGACAGATAATCTCCGAAACTACTGGCCCGATTGTTGTCAAATTTTGTATTTTGTATGTATATTAGCAATAGTATGGTCATATAAGTAGATGGTAAAACGCTAACCAAAATTTGTCCAATTGTGTGTTCGAAACTCATTCTCGTTGTTTATTGTCCACCTATATTTTATAATAATAAAATTATTACTATTACAACAACTCCTCACCCAAAATAATATTCGGACTGTTTTGGTCCATTGTAAATTAATTAATCAGTGCTCTCGTCTGTTTTAAGGGGAGAAAATCATACAAATTTCATTTTCTTGCATGCGACGGCTGACGCTTGAAATCGGAACATGCTTATAGTCGAATTCTTTCGAAACATAAACATTCGAAGTTAAGCATGTAATTACATTAGAGTACATTTTTCCAGTTGGTTATCGGGTTTAAATATTTGGATTTAATAAATCTTGCGCAACACTCAATACACGTTTGAACAGATGCCTTATTTCAGGCGTGCGAGTCCGGCCGAGGCGCCGTCCTACTCTCAGTCGCCAGGGGCAAAGTCTCGGAAGGAGTGGACTTCGACCACCACTTAGGCCGCGCAGTCCTCATGTTCGGCATCCCCTACGTCTACACACAATCCCGAATACTCAAAGCGCGTTTGGACTACCTCCGCGACCAGTTCCAAATCAAAGAAAACGACTTTCTGACCTTCGACGCCATGCGCCACGCCGCACAGTGCGTCGGACGCGCAATCAGAGGGAAAACCGACTACGGTATCATGATTTTCGCCGACAAGAGGTTTTCTAGGTCGGATAAGAGGTCCAAGCTGCCCAAGTGGATCCAGGAGCATTTAAAAGACTCTTTAACGAATTTGTCGACGGAGGAGGCCGTTCAGGTATGAAATGCAGTCGTATTTTTTAGAGTGAGGTCGTCAAATTCGGGATTGTAGATAGCCAAGCGGTGGCTGAGACAGATGGCGCAACCGTTCACCAGAGAGGACCAACTGGGGGTGTCGTTGTTGACGTTGGAGCAGCTGCAGAGTCTCGAAGCGAGCAAAATTCAAGAGCAGGCGCAGCAGAATTAGGGTGGTATTTTTAATAATAAAGAGATAGTTTTGCAGTGGTATTTTTTTATTCATACCAAAAATTATTTACTTAATAGTTCTTTTAAAATCCGGTCGCATTTGGCCATATTTGCTCTTTGTTTGCTTTTAGTGGCCACCAATCCTAGTAAGGCTTTGAAAACTTTGGTTTTGCCGGATTTGTACTGTGTCACGATTTTCTCATTTTCTTCTATCACGTTTTGACACAGCTTTATTAACTCATTTTCGTCGGTAATTTGCATCCAATTATTCTCCTTGATTATCTGTAATGACACACAACATTTTTTTTTAGTTTAGTTTACTTTAGTAATCACTGACATTACCTGTAGTGGATTTTTGTGATTACCGTGAATAATTTCATCCAAGACTAATTTTGCAATGTTCCTACTGATTTGACCCGTTTGTACAAGTTCTACAATTTCTCCAAAATACTCAGAATCAAAAGTTCTAAAATAAAACACACACTAATAGTACAAATACAATTTTATACCATTCAAACTAACACTTGTGAGGGCTCCAAATCCATTTTATGTAACACATTTGTATATTCATTAATCAACAAGTTGGCAAGCAATTTCCCCTGCAGTTTCCTACTTCTACAAGCCCCTTCAAACAACTCCAAAAACGACTTTTCATTAACTAAAATAATTGACTGTTCCAAATTTAAACCAAAATCATCCCTTAATCTGGATCTCGTTTCTTCAGGCAATTCGGGCAAAGACTTTCTCAAGTCGTCCACATTAACACACCCATGTTCAACCGGACCCATCGCCAGGTGCAAAGGGGGCAAATTCGGCTCTGGCATATACCTATAATCCTACCAGATAACCCCCATCAAACCTACCCCTTTTCAAAAACCCCCACAAACCTGCTGCCTCTCCTTATCCCTCATAGCAACCGTAGTTTTATTCACGGCATCCCACGCCCTCGTTTCATTTTCAATTTCGCCCCCAGATTCCTTAATTTTAATTTGCCTATCAATTTCGTACCGAATAGCCCCTGCTACGCCCCTCACCGAGCCTATGTTTTTAGTTTCGGTGCGCACCCCCAAAGGGTCACCCTTTTTGTGAACAGAGACATTCGCGTCAACCCTCAGGGCGCCCTCTACACACAAAAAATATGTACTTGTGGTTGTACAAAGATGGATTAGTACCTTCCATTTTACAGGAACAGGTTCCTATTCTTTGTAAAATGGTTATTAATTCTTTCAATAGAGCGGCCGCTTCTTCTCCGTCTTTTAAGTCTGGTTCAAACACTAGTTCCATGAGCGGAACCCCGGCACGATTTAAGTCGACCAAACTTCGGTCAACGTCGTGCAGGGTTTTCCCGCTGTCTTGCTCCAGCTGGAGTTGTTTGATGCGCACTTGAGTCCTGTAGGGGGTTTTGTGAAAACCGGGGGTGAAAACTTGGAATTCGAGTTTACCGTCGTTGGCTAGAGGGTGTCTTTGTTGCGTGATTTGATAGCCAGACTAGAGTTAAATCAAAAATATTGTGGTTATGTGATTGCGAAAATGGCGCAGTCGCTAGGATAATTTTTTTTTTACAAATTAAAAAATTAACGATTTTTCCAACAATCAGGTAGTACTTACAGGAATATCTGCATAAAAATAGTGCTTCCGGTCAAACGTTGACACCGGGTTTACCCGACAGTTGAGGGCCAAAGCTGTCAAAACGCCATACTCCACACACTTTTCGTTAAGCACAGGGAGCGTTCCGGGAATGGAGCAGTCAAAAAAAGACACGTTTGTGTTGACTGGTGATGAAAAGTTCGTAGGGGCCCCTGAAAAAAGCTTGCTAACGGTGTTGATTTGGGCGTGCACTTCCAAACCCACAACGCTGGTCCATTTGTTGCTGTGGATAAAAAGTACACACAGAATGAGCCCCCTTATATAAAAAAAAAAACATACTCAGATTTATTAGTAATTGAGCGTCGCAGCTCCAAAGAGGGATAATAATCCTTAGAAACGTGTCGACACAAGTTTTTAAGCATTTTGTGTTTCTTTAGTCGTTCATGTCGTAAAATAAAGGAAATTTTAAATGTATGGTGGACATAACCTCAAAACGTCAGGCGCAGTGCAGCCAACCCGATGATTTAGTAACTACACAATTTGTATCACTTTCATTACATAATACAAAATGTGTTGGGTATAAAAAACAGTGAAATGGTGTCGTGGAGTTTCAGAATTGCGAACGATTTTTGTTTGGCGGGTCGTATTTATTTAAACGCTGGGGAAATCGTGCTCGCGTTGGTACTCCTGCCTGCCACCAACCCAAGCGCAGTTGGCTTCTGATCACGTGACCCCATATGTCAAATGTAACCGTGCGGGGCGAGTGACGGCTGAAAATCTCGATTCACCCCGGACATAATTGTAATATAAAATTTAAGTGACCAAATTGTCGTGAGAATGGAGATCCGTAAACTGATCGACCTGCTGAGGGCCACCATCGACCCGAACCAGCGGCAGCAGGCCGAGGCGCAGCTGGAGCAGGTTGGGTGAACATGTGCTCCGGAGTCGGCGGCTTTTTCACGGCTTTTTCTCTGCAGATCCACAAGATCATCGGGTTCGCGCCGTCGCTGCTCCAGGTGGTCATGATGGGCGACTGCGACATGCCGGTGCGGCAGGCGGGGGCCATCTACCTGAAGAACCTGATCTCGCAGAGCTGGCAGGACCGCGAGGTCGAGGGGGGCCAGCAGCTGCCCTTCGCCATCCACGAGCAGGACAGGGCCCTGATCAGGGACAGCATCGTGGACGCGGTGGTGCACGCTCCGGACCTCATTCGGACCCAGCTGTGCACCTGCGTCAACAACATGGTCAAGCACGACTTCCCGGGGCGGTGGACGCAGATCGTGGACAAGGTTAGTTCGGCGGGGTGGAAGCGTGGAGTTTAAGCCCGGTGATTCATGAGGCCTGATTACTTATTGTTTGAATTAACTGGCTATGATAACAAATAATGGAGAAGGTATTCGAGGAGTGGGCGCGAGATGCGAGGGGTTTGTGGAATTTAAATATTTGCAGTAAATTAGTGGAATGGTTTATTGGAGGAATTGATTTTCAACCCAGATTAAATTCTTGAACAGTTTTCTTATCATATCCTGGTTGATATAAATGTGAATGAAAGGTGAAAGGTTATCTTTTTGCTAATTTTAATTTCGAAAAAAAGATGCGCCTCTCACTCAGGTGCTGGAGAATAATTGATATAATATTACAAACCACACTTTAAATGAATGATAACGTTTCACACTAATTACTCATCCCTTTCAGAAACTGATGACGTGATTTCAAATATTTATTAAAGTTCATTGTTAATGTTAAATCGCACATTGTAATGTACATTCATCAAAAAACTGATGACGTCACCGCAAATCTTATTAAATACATCTTGATTGGCCTTGGGATTCATACGGTATTCTAGGTCAGAGCGGAGGGATTTCAATGCAAATAATTTTGCTGCAGATTTTTTGTCCAGTGTTAGTCATTGCTTCCTTATAAAGTTTTGTACCAAGGCTATGCCGTTAAACTTTGCTTACCTTGACTGTGAACTCTTCAATTTATGACATTGTTACGAAATAGAAAATTTTCTTGGCGAGCGGGTGATTCACTTTTTCTAATTACGTGTAACAAATTTGTTATAATTTTTTTATTATATAAAAAAAAAATGTACATTCAATGTAATTAATTATTCATTCGTGTGTTCTTCAAAATATGTTTTGAATTCTCCGCTTATTATAGTATTTAGTTTTTTCTAATCCCTGTCTGTCCTTCAACACGAGCGTACTTACAATAACGTAAAAGGAGAGAGTAAATTATGTAAGTTGCTTTATTTTTAGTACGTTACCAATCACTTTCAACTATGGATTTTTTCTAGCAAAAACGTAAATAATAGGAAATTGTTTGTTGTTTGTAAAAATGATGAGTCATAGGATTTTGGTTACGTTGTAAGCAAGTCACCGTTGCAAGTGTATGCACTGGAGCATTTAAAAATTGCAACATTTTAATAAATGCGACTTAAAATAAATTAATTTTAATGTGAAATTTCAGTTTTTCGTTGAAATTAAATTTTTCTGTTCGCTTGGTGTGGTTTAAGTCGTAATCGTGGAGTTTGATTGATGGTCGTAGCTGCTTTGATGTCGTGCAACTGATGGCACAGATTCTTCCTCATGGTCTTCTTTGACGCCAGATTTGAATGATCGCCCCACATTTGTATAAAATGTTACGAACTTCGTTCCACTGTATCGATTTTGGTATGGTGTATTTTGCGTCATTTGTTGACATGCCATACTTGACAGTGATACTTTGGACAAGGTTTAAGTGGGATTTTATCCTGAAGGATCGTGGGTTTTGTTTGGTTACGGTTCGTCTCACGATGATATGTGCCTGGGTGATAAAGTTTCCAGACGTGTGATTTAGTTATATTTTGTTCGTGGTTCTGATTACTTTTTGAGTGGTTCCCCGTTTGTCTGTTGTCTGTCGTCTATCAATTTTTATTAGACACATTATCTCCGAAACTACTGGACTGATCGTTGTCAAATTTTGTATGTGTATTAGGAATATCATGAAGATGGTTAAATGCTAACCAGAATTTGGCTAATCGTCCCTGCCCCCAATAGGATGACGTCATTGCCAGAATTTACAATAATAATTTCTTTTTAATTCCATAAAATAAGATACTCCTGTACTTGTGGTGTATGAATCCGTGTTGATTTTCACCGTGGACACCTAGATTCTTGAAAAAAAAAAAAGTATAACATTTTTATTTTAACTTGGTGTATCATAAAAAAAATAAAATTCGCAAAATCAAATCTTCTCATTTTTGATATCCAAATTTTTCGATCTTCCTTTTGCTTCGATTTTACAGTTCTTTGATATCATAATTTTCGTGTTTTCATTTTCTTAATTTTCTTTTTCTCGAATTTACATCACAATTTTTCGTATTTCCTTTCCTTTATTTTTTAACGTTTTTTCGATTTTATAATTTCGTTTATTCAATTTTTCAAATGTTCAAAAGTTGATTTTTCAGTTCCTATATTTTCCAATATTTAAAATTTTCAGTTTGGCAGTTTTTGGATTTCCAATTATCCGATTTTTAGATTTCTTTAATTCAATATCTCGATGTTAAAATACATATTTTACTTTTTCGATTTTTAAGTTTCTCAATTTTTAATGTTCCAATTTTTCAATATTCGTTTCTTCAATTTTTCATGTTCTTAATTACCAATTTATGGATTTTTTGAAGTTATCATTTTATACGTTTTTATTTTTTCATTTTTGATTTTTCAGTTTTCCGATTTTGCAGTTTTTCCATTTTTTATTCGAAAAATAGGAACATTGAGAAATAACTAAAAAATCGGAAAAATTGAAAAATCGAAAATTGCAAAAAATGGAGGAACTGAAGAAACGAAAAATTTAAACATTGGAAAATAAAACTCGAGGAACTTAAAAATCGAAAAAAAAAACAAATTGAAAAAGTTGAAAAATTGAAAAATTTAAAGAACGAAAACTTGTAAATATGAAAATTTGAAAACGAAGAATTGCGAATCAAAAAACTGAAGAAATGGCAATTTGAAGAATCGAAAACTTCAAATATATAAAAATAGAAAATTCGAAAAATTGTAAAATTGAAAACTGGAATACTTGAAATCGAAAAACTGAAAGAGACAAATTATTCAAACGAAAAATTAAAAATCGAAAAATGAAAAATTTGCAAAATCGAAAAATTTAAAACTGAAAACTCGAAAAATTATAAAACAAAAAAATTGAAAAATTAGGCATCGGAAACCCGAAAACTTTAACAGTAGAAAAATTAAGATATTTAAAGTTGTGTATATTATCGAAACTCGAAGATATGAAGACACGAAAAATTTAATAATCAAAAAATTGAAAAATCGATTAATTACAAAAAATCGAGAAACTTAAAAATCGAAAAATTTAAAGAACGAAAACTTGAAAAATCATTAAGCTGAAGAAATAAGAAATTGTAAAGTGAAAAATTGTAAATATGAAAACTCGAAAATTTGGAAACGAAGAATTGCGAATCAAAAAACTGAAGAAATGACAAAGTGAAAAATCGAAAACTTCAAAAATAGAAAAATAAAAAATTTGAAAAATTAAAAATCGAGAGACCGAAGAATTAAAGAAATGAAAGACTTCAAATATATAAAAATTAACAATTAGAAAAATTGTAAAATTGAAAACTCGTAAAATTATAAAACAGAAAAAAAATGAAAAATTCAGCATGGAGAAATCGAAAAATTGAACAGAGTAGAAAGTGGAAAACTGAAAAATCGAAAAAGGGAAAAATTGAACATACGAAAAATTGAAAATCTGAAAAGTTGTAAGATCGAAAAATTGAAGAAATGAAATTGAAAAAATTTTAAATTCAAAAAACAAAGAAACTATAAAATCGGAACATTGAAAAATCGAAAAATTGTAGAAATAAAGAAAATAAAAAGCCGAAACGAAAATTTTCAAATTGAAAATTTGAAGAAATAAAAAATTGAAAACTCGAATGATTAAAAATCCAATAATTGAAAAATGGAAAAATTTAAAAATTGTAAAATTGGAAAAGTGACAATTTCAAAAATTATTATTAATATTACAAGGAAAACTAGAAAAATTGATAATTAAAAATTAAAGAAACGAAAAATTAAAAAATCTGAAAATTGAAAACCGAAAAATGGCATATCAAAAAATTAAAAAATTGCAAAATCGAGAAACTTTAAAATCGGAAAAAAATAAGGAAGAAAAAGAACAAATTGAAAACGTTGAAAAATAAAAAAAAAATAAAGGACGAAAACTTGAAAAATCATTAAGCTGAAGAAATGAGAAATTGTGAACTGAAAAATTGTAAAAATGAAAATTAGAAAATTTGGAAACAAAGAATTGCAAATCAAAAACTTGGAGAAATGACAAATTGAAGAATCGAAAACTCAAAAATAGGAAAATAAAAGAATCCAAAAATTAAACATCGAGGGACCGAAAAACGAAAACTCGAAAAATTGTCGAAACGAAGACTTCAAATATAGAAAAATTAAAAAATTCGAAAAATTGTAAAATCGAAAACTTGAAGTCGAAGAACTACAAAGCGAAAAACTAAAGGAGACAAATTAAACAAACGAAAAATTAAAATTCGAAAAATGAGAAATTACAAATTCGAAAATTGTAAAAACAAAGAAAATAAAAAGTCGAAACGAAAATTTGCAAATCCATAATTCGAAGAAACGGAAAATTCAATAATCAAAAAATTGAAAAATTAAAAATAAAACATTGAAAAGTCGAATAAATGAAAAAGTTTTAAAATCCATTGATTATTGAAAACCGAAAAAATCCAAAAATTGAAAAATCTCTCATCGAAAAAAGAAAAATTATAAAATTGGAAGCTCAAGAAATTTTAAATCGGAAATTATAAAGAGTAAAAATTGAAGAAACGAAAAATTGAAAATCGAAAAACAGAAGAAATCACAAGTTGAAGAATCGAAAACTTCAAAAAACAAATTCGAAAAATCAAAAATGGAGGGACTGAAAAACGAAAACTCGAAAAATAAAGAAACGAAGACTTCAAATGTAGAAAAATTAGAAATTACAAAAACTGAAATTGAAAACTCGAAGTTGAAGAACTACAAAGCGAAAAACTAAAAAAGACAAAATTAACAAACGAAAAATTAAAATTGAAAACTCCAAAAATTATAGAACTGAAAAATTGAACAATTAAACATCGAGAACCTGAAAACACGAAAAATGAAAGAAAGGAAAAAACGTATGAGTATTATAACTTGAAAATATGAAGACACGAAAAATTAAAAATTAAAAAGTGGAAAAGCTGAAAATTTTAAGCAACGAAAACTTGAAAAATCAGGAAACTTGAAGAAATGAGAAATTGAAAATTCAAAAGTTGGAAAAATGAAAAAGCGAAAAATTGGAGAAACGAAAAATTGAAAACCTGAAAATCAAAAAAATTATAAAATGGGAACACAAATTGTAAAAATAAAGAAATTGAAAAGTCGATACGAAAATTTGCGAATCCATAATTGGAAGAAATGGAAAATTGTATAATCGAAAAATTGAAAAGTCGAATAAATGAAAAAGTGACAATTTTAAAATGATTGTTATTATTACATATTTAAAATAAATACTAGAAAAATTGCAAATCAAAAATTGAAGAAACGAAAAATTAAAACATCTAAAAGTTGAATAATGGAAAAATTGAAACACGAAAAATTGCAAATCAAAAAATTTAAAAATTTCACATTTAAAATGATGCAAACTATAAAATCAGAACTTTGAAAAACGGAAAAATTCAAATATAAAAAATTGAAAACTCGTGAAACTGCAAATCTAAAAATTGAAACATAAAAGTTGGAAAATCGAAAAAATTAAAAATGTAAACAGGAAGAGAAGCAAATTGAAAAATTAAAGACGACCAATTGAAAAAATATACCTATATAAAATCGAAACATTGAGAAATCGAAAAATTGTAAAAATAAATCAAATAAAAAACAAAAGCAAAAAATTCGGAATCTAAAATTTGTAGAAATGAAAAATTAAAGAACCGAAAAATTGAAAAAACAAAAAATTATAAAATCGAAACATTAAAAATAGAATACAAACTGAAAAGAAAAAATAAAAAAAATAAAAAACCGAAACGAAAAATTGCAAATCGAAAAATTGAAAAAATCAACTTAGAAAGGTGCTCAAAGTAAGGGGATTTGTTGGACTGTACTTCAGGGGTGAGCGAAGTTCTGTCAAAATAACAGCTTCGACCAATTTTTTTATTTGCAAGTAATAGTTTCATTTGATTCCTCCCAATAAATTACACAGGAAAAAAGGAGTAACATTTAGATTAAAATCTAGAATTGCTTGGAAGTCGCATTCATTCGGAATCAGAAATTTAATCAATCTTCTTGCGTGATCATAAATTTTTAACATCACTTGTTATTGTTTGGAGATGATACATGGCAGTCAACGCCACTTTTAAAGTGGAATTAAATTTCAGTTATCAGAACATAAAAGCATCGTCATGCTTATTTTAAGTAAAACATTTAATAAAAGTGTTAATCGTGATACTGAAGAAAATATATGTATAGACACCTGAAAGAATCTCAAATACCAAAAAGATAAAAAATGATTGATGTTTGAAGCCAGGGTGAATTTTTTTCAACAACTTGGCAAATTTTGCTGCATGATATTTTTATTTATTTATTTATTTATTTATTTATTTTTGTAATAATTGTTGCAGATCAGTATATACTTATCAAATCCAGACCCGAGCGGATGGCACGGCGCCCTCCTATGTCTTTATCAATTAGTAAAAAATTTCGAATACAAGAAGGCTGATGAAAGGGGACCCTTACACGAAGCTATGAATCTACTATTGCCGCAGCTTTATCAATTAATAGTTCGTATTCTACCCGACGCTTCCGACCAATCAGTACTTTTACAGAAAGAGGGCCTGAAAATATACTTCGCCCTCACCCAGTATATGCTGCCGCTAGACCTAATAACTAAGGAAGCTTTCGCCCAGTGGATGGAAGTCTGCCGACAGGTAAACCCAAACCTCGACTACGCAAAATATCATAAATAACGCAATTTCTCTCCTCCAAGGTTGTGGAAAGACCCGTCCCACCGGCTGCCCTGCAGCCGGATGAAGACGAGCGCCCCGACCTGCCGTGGTGGAAGTGCAAAAAGTGGGCCCTCCACATTTTGTACAGGATGTTCGAGCGGTACGGTTCGCCCGGTTTGGTCACTAAGGAGTATAACGAGTTCGCGGAGTGGTATCTGCAGACGTTCAGCGCAGGGGTTTTGGAGGTTTTGTTGAGGCAGCTGGATGGGTATAGGTCCGGACACTGGATACCGCCGCGGGTGCTGCAGCAGACGCTGAATTATCTCAATCAGGCGGTTTCTCATGCCTATACGTGGCGGATTTTGAAGCCACATATGCCAGCTATTATACAGGATGTTCTTTTCCCGTTGATGAGTTACTCGCCGGAGGACCACGAACTGTGGACGGTGGATCCGCACGAGTATATTCGGGTGAAGTTCGGTGCGTACTTTTTTTATCTACGGTTCTTGTGGAATTTTTATTTTTAAACAAGGGATCTGTGAGGGTGGTTGCCTATTTATTTCTGTAAAATTCAGGATTGTCAAAAATAACGATGAATTTAGGCATGAATGCATTAGTTCAAAGTGCTATTGTTGGAGAAAATTGTGCTAATTTTGGTACTAATTTTGTGGAAAGTTCACACACACTCTCCTGGTAATTTATTCTAAATTAACTGCTTGAGTGTTAGGAAATTAAGTATTTGTTGTTTATAATTGATACTAAATACCAAAATCCCAATTCGTAATATCGATATTATCTAAAAACTTCAAAGTGTCTATTGAAAAACTGAAAGAGTCGCAGATTAAACGTCGTATTTGACTAGCACATAATAGTTATTATTTCGCACGAGCATGCATTCATTTTCGCATCCGCGTTGACCAATCGCAACGAAGTACATCGGCGCCAAATTCAAACTGGCGCCAATTCGAATATGATTGTTTTCATCGTGTTTATTTATGTATGGGGTTTGGGATTTTTTTAATTGAGACCGATTTTTTAAGTTTTTGATTTCACAATTTTTCACTTTTTCGTTTTTTCAGTTTCACAATTCTTTAAATTTATCTTACATTTTTTAGTTTTTTGAACTTCAATTTTTCGATTAACGACTTTAAATTTTTCAAGTTTTCGACTTTTAATTTTCCAGTTTTTCAACTTTTGAAAATTTCAATTTCTCGTTTCTTCAATTTTCGATCTTACAATTTCTCGGTTTTTGAAGTTTTTGTAGGTTCAATCTTCGATTAACAATTTTAATTTTGCGATTTTTCAACTTTTTAATTTTTCAGTTTTTCTTGTTTTCAGTTTCAAATTTTTCATGTCTAGCTTTTCGGTTTACAATTTTTAAATTTTACAATTTTTCACTTTTTTAAGTTTTCATTAGCATTTTTTCGACATTTTGACTTTAAATTTTTCAATTTTTATTTTCAATTTCCCGTTTCTTTAAATTTTTTATTTTAGAATTTTTCGGTTTTCCTTGTTTCAGTCTTTCGATTTGCAATTTCGAATTTTTCGATTTTTTAAGTTTTTGTTTCTTTAATTTTTAATTTTTCAGTTTGCCATTTCTTCAATTTCTTCAGTTTTCAATTTACAAATTTTCAATTTTAGGACTTTGTAATTTTTCAAATTTTCGATTTTTGAGTTTCTCGATTTTTCAGTCTTTCAATTTTTCAAGTTTTCATTTAAAATGTTTCTACTTTTCAATTTCTCGTGTTTTCAGTATTTCATTTTGCAATGTTTAAATTTTACGATTTTTCACTTTTTTAAGTTTTCATTTGCACTTTTTCGACATTTTGACTTTGAATTTTTCAATTTTTATTTTCAATTTCCCGTTTCTTTAAATTTTTTATTTTAGAATTTGTCGGTTTTCGGGTTTTCCTTATTTCAGTTTTTCGATTTCCACTTTCGAATTTTTTGATTTTTGAAGTTTTTGTTTCTTTAATTTTTAATTTTTCAGGTTGCCATTTCTTCAATTTTGTCAGTTTTCAATTTACAATTTTTCAAATTTTCGATTTTCGAGTTTCTAGATTTTTCAATCTTTCAGTTTTTCAAGTTTTCATTTAAAATGTTTCTATTTTTCAATTTCTCATGTTTTCAGTATTTCAATTTTGTAAAGTTTAGATTTTAAAATTTTTCACTTTTTCCGTTTCAGTTTACAATTTCTCGAGCTTTTAACTTTAAATTTTTCAAGTTTTATTGTTTAAATTTTTCGATTTCTTATTTATCATTTCTTGAGTTTTTCGATTTCAAGTTTTCGAATTTGCAACACTTATGATTTTGTAATTTTTAATTTTCACCTCAATTTTTCAGCTTACAGTTTTTAGATTTTACTTTTTTTCACTTTTTCGAGTTTTAACTTTAAATTTTTCAAATTTTCATTGTTTAAATTTTTCGATTTTCCAAATTTTCCTGCCTTCAATTTTTTGTTTCTTCAGTTTTTCTTCAGTGTTAACATTTTTAAAGTTCTCAATTTTTAATTTTTTAATGTTTCAATTTTTCAATTTTCAGACTCAATGTTGAATTTTTAAATTTTTCGTGGCTAAAAAATTCCCCAGTTTTATAATTTTTCGAATTTTCAATTTAAAATTTTTCACCTTTTTAATTTTTCAATTTTTCGTTTCTTCAACTTTTCTTTACTTTCATCATTTCCCAAGTTTGTCAATTTTGTTGTCTTTTGAAATTTTCAATGTCGATTCTTGAATTTTTCGAGTTTTCGTTTTTCAGTTTCTCGATTTTTAATTTTTGGATTTCTTAATTTGTTGTTTCTTCAGTTTCTCGGTTTCAAGTTTTCGAGTTTTCAATTTTACCATTTTGTAGATCTTTAAATTTTTCAATTTTGCGCCTCAATTTTTCAATTTATAATTTTTAGGTTTTAAACTTTTTAGTTTTTAACTTTAAATTTTTTAATTTGTCAATTTCATGTTTCTCCAATTTTTCGAAATTTCAAGTTTTCGTTTAAATTTTTTGATTTGCAATTTTAAATTTTTTTATTTTTCAATTTTTTGTGTCTTTCAGTTTTATAATTTTTTAAGTTTTCAGTTTAAAATTTTCAATTTTTACATGAACAATTTTTAGATTTTACAGTATTTCTCGTTTTCCATTTTTCAGTTTCTCAATTTTTCGAGTTTTTAACTATAAATTTTCAAGTTTTCATTGTTTAAATTTTTCGATTTGTGATTTAAAATGTTTCAATTATTCGTTTCTTCAATTTTTCAGGTTTTCTTTCAGTTTCTCAATTTTTAATTTCTCGATTTCTTTATTGGTCATTTTTTCAGTTTTTCGATTTCAAGTTTTCGAAGTTTCAACAATTTTATGATTTTTTAATTTTTCAATTTTTCGGTTTCTTTATTTCATTTCTTCAGTGTTTCAACAATTTTATGATCTTGTAATTTCTCAGTTTTTAGATTTTCCAGTCTCTCCATTTTTAATTTTTCAATTTTTCTTTTTTTAATATTTCTATCTTACAATTTTTTAGGTTTTCAATTTTAAAATTTTCAATTTTTCACCTCAATTTTTCGTTTACAATTTTTAGATTGTACAGTTTTTCATTCTTTCGAGTTTTCGGTTTAAATTTTTCAAGTTTTCATTGTTTAAAATTTTCGATTTTCCAGTTTTTTAATTTTTTAAATTTTCGTGCCTTCAATTCTTCGTTTCTTCAATTTTTGTTCAGTTGTAACATTTTTCAAGTTCGCACTGTTAAATTTTTAGATATTTCATTGTTTCGATTTTTCAGACTCTCAATGTTGAATTTTAAAATTTTTTGAGCCGTAAAAATTTTCCAGTTTTAATTTTCAGACTTTTCAACTTTTTTATTGTTCAGTTTTCTGTACCTTCAGTTTTTCGTTTCTTCAATTTTTCTTGAGTTTCATCATTTTTTAATTTTTCGATTTCTCGATGTTGAATTTTTCGAATTTTCGTTTTTCAGTTTTTCGATTTTTAATTTTTGGATTTCTTAATTTGTCGTTCCTTCAGTTTTTCGATTTCAAGTTGTCAAGTTTTGAATTTTACGATTTTGTAATTTTTCAATTTTGCACCTTAATTTTTCAGTTTTTTGAGCTTTCAACTTTAGATTTTTCAAGTTTTCATTGTTTAAAATTTTCGGTTTTCCAGTTTTTCAATTTTTTAAATTTTCGTGCCTTCAATTTTTGTTCAGTTGTAACATTTTTCAAGTTCTCACTGTTAAATTTTTAGATATTTCATTGTTTCGATTTTTCAGACTCAATGTTGAATTTTAAAATTTTTTGGGCCGTAAAAATTTTCCTTTTAATTTTCAGAATTCAACTTTTTTATTGTTCAATTTTTTGTATCTTCAGTTTTTCGTTTTTTCAATTTTTCTTCAATTATATCATTTTTGAATATTTCGATTCCTCGATGTTGAATTTTTCAATTTCTCGTTTCTTCAATTTTTCTTCACTTTTGTCATTGTTTAGTTATAAATTTTTCGATTTTATGTTCTTCCGAAATTTTCATTTTTCGATTTTTGATGTCTTCGTTTTTTAAATTTTTCGCATTTTCGTTTTTCAGTTTCACGATTTTTAATTTTTCACAATTCTTCAATTTCTTCAATTATATCATTTTTGAATATTTCGATTCCTCGATGTTGAATTTTTCAATTTCTCGTTTCTTCAATTTTTCTTCACTTTTGTCATTGTTTAGTTATAAATTTTTCGATTTTATGTTCTTCCGAAATTTTCATTTTTCGATTTTTGATGTCTTCGTTTTTTAAATTTTTCGCATTTTCGTTTTTCAGTTTCACGATTTTTAATTTTTGGATTTGTTAATTTGTCGTTCCTTCAGTTTTTCGATTTCAATTTGTCGAGTTTTCTATTTTACGATTTCGTAATTTTTCAATTTTGCACCTTAATTTTTCAGTTTTTCACTTTTTCGAGTTTTCAACTTTAAATTTTTCAAATTTCAAACCTTCAATTTTTCGTTTCTTCAATTTTTGTTCAATTTTAACATTTTTAAAATTCTCAATTTTAAATTTTTAAATATTTCAATTTTTCGTGTTTTTGTTTTTTCGTGTCTTCAATTTTTCTTCAGTTTTATCATTTTTCAATTTCTCAGTTTTTCAATGTTAAATTTTTCAAATTTTCTTTTCTTTAATTTCTGGTTCCTTCAATTATTCATTTCTTCAATTTTTCTTCAGTTTTGTAATTTTTCAAGTGTTCAATTGTAAATTTTTTCAATTTTTTCATTTTTAATTTTTCATTTTTTTATTTCTTGAATTTTTCAATCCTACAATTTTTCAAGTTTTCAAATCCAACAATTTTTCAGGTTTTCAAATCCTACAATTTTTCAGGTTTTCAACTTAAAATTTTTAACTTTAAATTTTTCAACTTTTGAATTTGTCAATTTCACGTTTCTTCAGTTTTTCGGAATTTCAAGTTTTCGTTGTTTAAATTTTTTATGTGCATAAAATTTTTCCATTTTTCAACTTTTATTTTTCGTGTCTTAATTTTTTCATTTTTCAGACTCTCAGTGTCGAATTTTTTAATAGTTCTATAATTTTTCGAGTTTTGAATTTAAAATTTTTCGCTTTTGTAATTTTTCGAAGTTTTCGTTTTTTAACTTTTGAAGTGTTGGTTTCTTCAAATCTCATTTTCTCAATTTCTAATTTTTCGATTTTTCAATGTATTTCTTCAGTTTTTCGATTTGGAATTCTTCGATTTCAAGTTTTCGAGTTTGTAATTTTACAGTTTTTCAAATTTTCAGTTTTGTGATTTTTTGATTTTTCAGCTTTTCGATAGTTTCTTAATTTTAGTTTTTCGATTGTTCACGTTTTGAATTTTCAATTTTTTGAAGAGGTATATTAGGGAAAAAATCCAAATTCTCCTAGTTTATAGTTTTTAAAAATACCGGCTTGAAAAAATTGAAAAATTAATTGTCGAGAAAATGAAAAATTGAAGATCGAGAAGTTGAAAGATTAAAAACATATCTAAAAATTAAAAATTTAAAAACTAAAAGATAAAAAAAAAATAAAAAAATGGGAAAAACCTAAAAATTCAAAGTCGAGAAATTGAAAAATTAGAAATTAAAATTTTGGTGCACGAACATCATTATAATATGCTGTTTTTTTAAAAAATTGAAAAATCGAATCCAAAGTCGAAAAATAAAACAATTGAAGTAACGAAATAAAAAAAATCAATAATTTGAAAAATTTTAATTTGAAAACCCGAAAAATTGCAAATCGAAAAAATGAAAACTTAAAAATTTTACAATTAAGAAGTTGAAAAATTAAAAATGGGACAACCGAAAAAAGACGTAAAAATTGAAAAATAATATAATACAATTTTTGTGTGTAACAATGTTTCCGTTTTCAGACGTTTTCGAGGATTTCGTTTCACCGGTTACCGCAGCTCAAACTCTTCTTCACTCGTCGTGTAAGAAACGTAAAGACATGTTACAAAAAGCGATGGCCATGGTGACGCAAGTCCTCACCAATCCGGCCAGCGAAGCGCCCCAAAAAGACGGCGCTTTGCATATGGTGGGTTCTTTGGCCGACGTTCTATTAAGGAAGAAGGTCTACAGGGATCAGTTGGACCAACTTTTTATTAAGTACGTTTATCCGGAGTTCAGCAACGAGAGGGGGCACATGAGGGCCAGGGCGTGTTGGGTTCTACACTACTTCGCCGAATTCCCCTTCCGTCAAGAGAACGTTTTGATGGAGGCCGTGAATTTGATGGTGAGGGCGCTGCTCCACGACACAGATCTTCCTGTCAAGGTAAGTGGACTGTCTAATTAACAAACTAAATTCATTAAATTTCACTATCGGCCACCTCTCCAGGTAGAAGCGGCGATAGCTCTGCAATCCCTCCTCAACTACCAGGAGAAATCGCAGAAGTACATCGAGCCCCAGGTCAAACAGATCGCCCACGAACTCCTGACGATCATCCGCGAGACCGAGAACGAGGACGTGACGGGCGTCATGCAGAAGCTGGTGTGCGTGTACACGCAGCAGTTGGCGCCCATCGCCGTCGAGATCTGCCAGCATCTGACGACCACGTTCAACCAAGTGCTGGACACCGACGAAGGATCGGACGAGAAGGCGATCACGGCGATGGGGTTGCTGAACACGATCGAGACGCTGCTCACGGTGATGGAGGAACAACCGGAGATTATGATGCTGCTGGAGCCGACGGTGCTCCAGGTGGTGGTGCACGTGCTGCAGAACGAAGTCAAGGAGTTCTACGAGGAGGTGTTGGCGCTGATTTACGATCTGACGAGCAAGCACATATCGCACGATATGTGGAAAGTGTTCGAGCTGCTTTATCAGGTAAAATTTGAGAGTAAAATAGAAAATTTTTTGCTTGTATTTTGTAACATTATTTTAGTATTTTACTGTGTGTTTCATTTAACGCATAACGTGGTCTCCTATTTTCGTCTGACAAGATTAAAAAAAAAAGTAAAAATTGTTTAACATTTTTCAATTTAACTTTGAAACTGCAAAACCGAATGCTCTGAAATCTTGCGAACATTTTAAGGTTATCGTACTCAGGGTAAAACGTTAATTAAAATTTATTCGTTTATCACCTTTGAAAAAATTGATGACGTCATTTCAAAGTTTTGCCTAATAAATCCTTTTTGAAATATGCAAAATGTTATCACTCCATACTTGTCAATGCATTCATCGTTTTTAGGATTACTTATGCAGAGTGACAAAAAAAAAATGGAATGAGGCAATTTGTTTTAGTAATTAAATGAAGAACGCTCACTTCATTTTTCCGAAAATTGGGGAATACAGTACCGTTATGACTAGTAACTATTACACTTCGAGAAATTTTTTGATATCACAATTTTTTCTTTTTCTTCGACTTTACAATTTCTTTTATATCACTATTTTTCATTTTTTCATTATCTTTAATTTTTCAGTTTTTTCATTATTTTTAGTTTTTTCGATGTTACAATTTTCCATTGTGCACTTTTCCTATTTTTAAGTTTCTACATTTTTAACCTTCCCATTTTTGAATTTTTCGTTTCTTCAATTTTTCAAGTTCTTGATTTCCAATTTTTAGGTTTTTCAATTTTGCAATTTTTTTTTAATTCGAAAAGTTGAAAAATCGAAAAACTCGAAAATATGGTATAAATGTCCATTTTTCAAATATTTAGTAAACATTGGAAGCAATTTTTAATAAATTAACTTTTTTTTTTAATTTTATATATTTTTCGATGATCGTTTTTTAATTTGTTCATAAATGAATGATTTCACTTCAAAGATAATTCATTAAATAAGTTCATTTATTTTCAATGAGGGTAAAGTTTTCGAATTTTCAGATTTAGGATTTGTAATTTTTCAATTTTTTGATCTTACAATTTTTTAGGTTTTCATTTAAAATTTTTCTATTTTTCACTTTTTCGATTTTTCAGTTTCTCAATTTTTCAATCTACAATTTTCGAATTTTCAGCCTTACGTTTTCAAGTTTTCGTTATTTAAATCCCTCGACTTTCGGATTTTTCAGTTTCTCATTTTCTTAGTTTTTCGATTTGCAATTCTTCGATTTTTATTATTCGTGTTTTCAGTTTTATAATTTTGTAATTTTTCAATTTGTCGTTTCTTTAATTTTTTGATCTCATGATTTATCAAGTTTTTAGTTTAAAATTTTTCTGTTTTGCAATTTTTCTTTTCATGTTTTGAATATTTCAATTTGCAATTTTTAGATTTTTCAATTTTTCAGTTTCGCAATCTTTCAGTCTTCCATTTTTCGATTATTGTTTCTTCAGTTTTTCGATTTTTCAGTTTTCTTTGTTTAAAATTTTCGATTTGCAATTTTTTACAAACTTTTAATTTTGTTTACAATTTCCCATGTCTCAGTTTTTTGTATTATAATTGTTTTTTTTTATTTTTCTAGTTCAATTTTGTAATTTTTCGAATTTTTCATGTTTTTATTTTTGAAGTTTCGCGTTTTTTAGTTTCTTAAATGTTAGATTTTTCAATTTCTTATTTCTTTTTTCTTTCAATGTTATAATTTTGTAAATTTTCAAAATTTGGATTTTTCAGTTCCGCGATTTTTAATGTTTAAATTTTTCCGTTTTCCGATTTTTCATCATCGAAATATGTTGAAATTTTCAATTTTTCAGTTTTATAATTTTTTTAATATTCAGTGTTTGAATTTTTCATTTTTGAAGTCTTCATTTCTTCAGTTCTTGGAGTTTTCGTTTTGCATCATCACGACTTTTAATTTTTCGATTTTTCAGTTCATCATTTCTTCAGTTTTTCGATTTGCAGCCCTTGGATTTCAAGTTTTAGCATTTCCGACGTTACAATTTTTAGATTTTTCAGGTTCTAGATTTTTGTTTATTAAATTTTTCACCCCGTCAATTTTTCAATTTAAAATTTTTCAGTTTTTCGTTTTTTCAAATTTTAGAGTTTCCAAGTTTTTGTTTAAATCTTTCGTTTTTGTAATTTTTTGATTTTTTCAGTTTCTGGATTTTTAAATTTTCAGTTTTTCCAGTGCATCGATTTCCAGTTTTCGAGTTTTTAATTTTACAATTTTTCGAATTTTTAATTTTCATGAGTTCGTAATTTTTCAATTCTTCAGTTTTTAGGTTTTCATTTTTCGTTTTTTCAGTTTTTTAATTTTTCACCTTCTATAGAAACGTCTTATCGGGTCTATCAGGAAAAGAAATCCAAAATATCTTAGTTTATAGTTTTTAAAAATTATCAGTTTGAATAAACTTGTTTTTTTTGTTGAAAAATTGAAAAATTAATTATCGGAAAAATAAAAAATTGAAGATCCAGAAGTTGAAAAATCGAAAATCTTTTTGATTTTTCGAGTTTTCAACTTTAAATTTTCACGTTTTCATTGTTTAAATTTCTCGACTCACAAGTTTTTCAATTTTTCGTTTCCTCAGTTTTTCAAGTTCTTGATTTTTATTCTTCATTTTTCGGATTTTTTTATTTCAATTTTCTCAATTTTATAGCATAATTTTTCGTTTTTCATTTCCTTTATTTTTTCAGCGTTTCTTTCGATTTTATAATTTTTCACATATTCAGTTTTTCATATTTTCAATCTTTGATTTTTCAATTGCTTAATTTTCTTATTTTAAAATTTTTCAAATTTAGAATTTTTGGATTTCCAATTATCCAATTTTCCGATTTTCTTAATTTTCAATATGTCCATTTTACAATACAAATTAAGTTTTTTCCATTTTACACTTTCTCGATATTTGAGTTTTTCAATTATTAATCTTTCGATTTTTGAACTTTCAGAGTTTTCAAGGTTTCCATTTAATACTTTTTCGTTTTTTCATTTTTGATTTTTCAATTTTACAATTTTTCTATTTTCTATTTTTTTTTGTTCCAAAAGTTTAAAATCGAAAAATTAAAAATCGAAAAACTAAAAAGTCGTGGGATTTTCCAATTTTTAGATTTAGTCTCTCGATTTTTCAATTTTAAATTTTCACGTCCTCGTCGTTTACATTGTTCAATTTTTCAAATTTTCTGTCTTCTATTTTTCAATTTCTCAATGTTGAATTCTTCAGTTTTTCGTTTCATCGATTTTTCATTTTTGTAATTTTTCAAGTTTTCCATATAAAATTTTTTGATTTTGTAATTTTTAGATTTTTGAAGTCCTCGTTTTTTCAGCTTTTAGAGTTTTCGTTTTTCGGTTTCTTCATTTTAATCTTCGATTTTTTAATTTGTCATTTCTTCAATTTTTTTATTCCAAATTTCAAGTTTTCCATTTTACAATTTTACGAATTTGTGATTTTACAATTTTATGATTTTGTGATTTTCCAATTTTTAGATTTTCAGTTTCTCGATTTTTAATTTTTCAATAATTCTTCCTTTCGTTAGTTTTTCGATTATATAATTTTTTTCAGTTTTACAATTTTTCAAGTTCGATATAAAATTTTTTGATTTTGTGATTTTTAAAAATTTTTATTTTTCGATTTTTTAATTTGTCATTTCTTCAGTTTTTCGCTTCCAAATTACTAGTTTTTCTTTTACAGTTGTTAGAGCCTCTGGCGGGGACCTGTTTCACCCCTCCCCACCCGTAAGGGTGGGAGCCAGAGCCACCCCCACCTTGGAACACAGGGTAGCATTCATTCTTAATTCTTAACTCATACATACACATTCAATTCAATTCTCAATTCGTAACTAACACTCACCTATCTCGACCGCACGGTCACATAATATTCTATTCTAATCATTCTTATTTATCCTAACACTTGTCACTAGCAATATACATTTATCTTACTGTTCGCTGGTCTTTATTCATTTATACAAACTTCGACATGGTCCTTCGAGCCGGATTAGCGACAGAATAACAGTGGTAGTGATAAGTGTAATTCTCAACATATCATTCATCGGCTGGAATTCAGCAAAGTAGTTATCAAAACATCACCTAGAAATCATCCGCGCAGTGTTCAACTATCGGTGACGACCGCGAGTGCTGTGCAAAATCTTCAAGTATCATTCAACGTCAGCCAAGATAATTCTATCCACGAATCCAGGATTCCAGGTAAGCTTTAATTCTGTTTGGTTGGTGTAATACATTTATTCTCGTACTCAAGATGGTGGTAATCCAAGACAATACTTTTGTTAAATTTTCAATTCTTCTCAGCGAAATAGATTCACATTCTAATTTTATATCAAATGTTGCAAATCATCAAAAAAAAGGCCACTTAAAGCGTCGATATGAAGACGTACAGCGAATTTATTCAGAATTACAAATGCTTGTAGTTCAGCAAAAATCCGAAACAATGGTAGTCCCGAATGACACGAGTAACACGGAAACGATGAAACCTATAATTTATAATATCAGAGACGTGCTAAATTATATTCAAAAAATATCCGAATTATATAATGTTCTCATTGAAAAAACTAATCCATTGTGTACTTTCTCGAATTCATGTAAGATAAACACTAACGTACCAACCACGGATCTGGAAAAAACTTGTCAAAATTTAAAGCCTTTAAAGGTACACAAATTAAAAAATGGAGAACCCATCAAAATTCACAAAACCCATTTCAATGCTCTACGTAAATTGCGGTTCACTATTGGTAAAAAATCCCCTCTTGATTCCGTTATTTCAAAAACTCCTAGTATAATATCGAATTGTTCAAAATTTCCAAATTCAACACCGAATGAAGATAAAAATAATCCTGTTAATGATTGTTACAACTCCGAAGGCGTATCTCAAATTAATTTAGATAAAACTTCTAATGCAGGGTCATCTACCGCACTAGACAAAGTAAAAAGTCCTCCAGTTAATTCAAAAAACTGTGACTCATTGTTAGTCTGTAACCAATTTGAATGTAGATCTCAATATTTA